CTATGTCATTCATTTTTTTAAAAAATAAATATCTTTATTGACTTCAGGNCTTCCAGTGTATTTTTTCTACTATGTCATTCATTTTTTTAAAAAAAAAATATCTTTATTGACTTCAGGGAGAGGAAAGGATAGGGAGAGAGAGAGAGAGAAACATCAATGATGAGAGAGTCATTGATCGGCTGCAGCCCGCAACCCAGGCATGTGCCCTGACCGGGAATCGAACCCTGATCGCCTGGATCCTAGGTTGACGCTCAACTGCTGAGCCACACCTGGCTGGGCTATGTCATTCTTAATTTCCTGCATAGTTTCCATATCTTTTCTCATGCTGTTGAGCATCCTTATTACCTGTTCTGAACTCTATATCTGATAGGTTGCTTATCTCCATTTCACTTAGCTCTTCTGGAGAACTCTTTTGTTCTTTCACTTGGGGCTTGTTATTTTGTCTCCCTATTTTGTCTGCCAGTTTGGGTTTGTTTCTATGTATTAGGTAGATCTGCTAGGACTCCCATTCTTTTGGATGGTCTCTGGTGCAGGCCAATGTCAGACGCCGTTTGTGACTGGTGGGTTGGGTGAGAGGTTTTCAATGGGTGGGGCATTTGCTTTCCCCACAGGCAAAAGCTGCCTGGATAGTAAATGTCTACTTGAATTAGATGTCCTCTGCAGTATGGAGGAATAACTCAGCACAGGAATCCAAATAACTGCCATCTGAGCTCTATCTCCCAAGCCAGCTTCCCTAGATTCTCCTCATACAGCTCTAGTTCACTCTGCCCTGCCTATGCTGGAGCCCTAGGTGAGTGGCTGCAACACAGAACTCTGTGTGTTGGCCCTTTAAGAGGGTGCCTGCATTTCCAGCTTCCTCTTCCTGGCAGACAGAAACCTGACCACTTTTTACAGCCAGATGGTATGTGGACACCTTTTTCAGTTCTGGTGCTGCGGTCTCTGCTTTACATCCTAGGTTATGAGGGTGCTCTCCAGCTAGTCTGCAGTTGATTATTCAGGATTGTTTTTCTATATTTTAGTTGTAATCCCCGTTTTGTCCTGGGAGAGTGTCAGTGTAGCTTCCACTCAATTTGCTGCCATCTTGGAATCCCACTACAGTCTTTCTGTTTTTTAAAAATACATCTTTATTGATTTCAGAGAGAGGAAAGGAGAGAGAGAGAGAGAAATAGAAACATCAGTGATGAGAGCTGCCTCCTGCTCGCCCCCTGCTGGGGATTGAATCTGCAATCTGGGCATGTACCTTAATGGGGAATCGGACTGTGATCTCCTAGATCCTAGGTCGACGCTCAACCACTGAGCCACGCCTGGCTGGGCCCTACAGTCTCTTTTAAAGCAGGAAGTTACTTATTGAGAAGATATCTTTTCATTCTTATATGGGTACTATTTGCTATAAAAGAAAGGCCACTATAGCTAAGGAAACAGCATTTCCCACATCTAACAAAAAATAGAACATGAGAAAATGCAGTCATATCTGAAATCCTGAGACATCCAGCCTAATATTTGCCAGTTTGATCTTCTGTTAGATTCTCTTCCTATAAGTCTCACAATGGTAACATTTAAGTGAGCCTAAAAAGTAGCTCTGTCTCATTCTGAGAGAATGTTGCAAAGCTGGAAACTGGGGAAACAGAATGATCACTCCTTTCAAGGAAGAGATAAATAAACATAATGTTATTCCACTTTTCTAGATTCTTCTTATTCTCTCTCCCTTTTTTTTTTTAAGTTCTCACCTGAGGATATGCTTTTACTGATTTTAGAGAGAGAGGAAGGGAGAGGGAGAGAGAAACATTGATGGGAGAGAAACATTGCTCGGTTGCCTCCCACACGCTTCCCAACTGGGGATGGAACCTGTAACCTGGGTATGTGCCAGCTGGATTTGAACCTTTGACCCTTTGGTGCATGGGACAATGCTCCAACCAAGTGAACCACACTGGCCAGGTCTCTTTTCATTCTCTTTTTTATTTTTTTAATTTTAATTTTTAAATATATCTTTATTGATTTCAGAGAGAGGAAAGGAGAGGGAGAGAGAGAGATAGAAACATCAATGATGAGACAGTCATTGTTCGAGCCCGCAACCCGGGCATGTTCCGTGACCGGGAATTGAACCCTGATCGCCTGGATCCTGGGTCGACGCTCAACTTCTGAGCCACGCCCGGCTGGGCTTCATTCTCTTTTTTAAAAATCATTTTTTATTTTTCAATAACAGTTGACATCCAATAGTATATTAGTTTCAGGTGCACACCCCAGTGATTAAACATTAACTTACTAAATGATCATTCCAATAAATCTCATACCCATCTGACACTATACATAGTTATAGAACATTATTGACTATATTCCTTGTGCTGTGCTTTATATTCCAATGACTATTCCAGCCAATTTGTACTTCTTAATAACTTCACCTTTTTCACCCTTCACTCTAACCCCCCTCTCATCTGGCAACTATCAAAATATTCTCTGTATCTATGAGTTTGTTTCTGTTCTACTTGTTCATTTGTTTTGTTTTTTAGATTCAAGTATTGATAGTTATGTATTTATTGCTATTTTATTCTCTTTTTGTTCTTTTTCAATCCTCATCCTAGGACATGTTAATTGATTTTAGAGAGAGGAAGTGGGGGGCGAGAGAGAGAGAGAAACATTGATCGGTTTCCTCCCATACCCTACTAGGGATTGTACCTGCAACCTGGGTATGTGCCCTGACTGAGAATCAAACCCACCACCTTTTGGCGTATGGGTTGACGTTCTTACTTTATTACATAGATAATTCGCAAAATTTTTTTCCGTTCTTTTTTTCCCTTTCAGTTTCTTTCTTCCTTTTAATCCTCACCAGAGGATATGTTTTTATTGATCTTAGCGAGAGAGGGAGGAGGAGAGAGACAGAGAGAAACATTGATGTTGAAAAACATCGATCCCGTATGTGCCCTGACGAGATTGAACTTGCAACCTTTTGGTGTGCAGGACAATACTCCAACCAGCTGAGCCACTTGGCCAGGGCTCAATTTCTTGATATTATGGGTTGAAGCATGAAAGTTTTTAATTTTTTAAAATATGTTTTTATTGATATTTATTTTATTTTATTTTATTTATTTATTTTAAAATATATCTTTATTGATTTCAGAGAGAGGAAAGGAGAGGGAAAGAGAGATAGAAACATCAATGATGAGAGAGTCATTGATCGAGCCTGCAACCTGGGCATGTGCCGTGACCGGGAATCGAACCCCGATTGCCTGGATCCTAGGTCGACGCTCAACCGCTGAGCCATGCCTGGCCGGGCTTATTGATTTTTAGAGAGAGAGGAAGGGAAGGATAGATAGAAACATTGATGAGAGAAAAACATCATTGATTGGCTGCCTACTGCACACTCTCTTCTGGGGATTGAGTCTGCAACCCGGGCATGTGCCTTGACTGGGAATAAAACCGTGACCTCCTGGTTCCTGGGTCATCAACCACTGAGCCACACCAGCTGGGCACAAAGGGTTTTAATTTAAATAAAGCCTACTTTCTCTATTCTTCTTTGTTTGTTTCTTATGTTTTTAATATCATATTTAACAAACCATTGCCTATTCAAGATCCCAAAGATTTATGCCTATGTTTCATTAACCTAAATCCATTTCTTGCAACTTTTTGTATATGTTAAGTAGGGGTTTAATTGCATTTTTGTGCATGTAGATATCTACATTTATTGAAAAGACTATACTTTCTCCATTGAATTGTCTTGGCATCCTTGTTGAAAAGTGACAATGTGTGGGTGTTTTCTGGACTCTCAGTTCTGTTCCATTGATCTTTGTCTATCCTTGTGCCAGTGTGCCACAGTGTTTTGATAACTTTGTAGTAAGTTTTGAAACTGAGATATGTGAGTCCTTCAAATTTCCCCCCCTTTTTTTTCAAGATTGGTTTGGCTATTCTGGGACCCTCTGTTTCCATATGAATTTTAGGATCAGCTTGTCTATTTCCTCAAAAAAGCCAACAGGGGTTTTATTAGGGATTATGTTGCTTCTGTAGAGCAATTTAGGGAATATTGCTGTCTTAACAATATCAAGTCTTCCAATTCATGAACAGTGGATATCTTTGCCTTTATTTAGATCTTTAATTTCTTTCAACAATATTTTAAAGTTTTCAGTTGCAAATCTTCCACTTCCTTTGTTAAGTTGATTCCTAAGCTGTTAGAAATTGAATTTTTCAAGTTTCATTTTTGGATTGTTTATTGCTATTGGATAGCAGTACAAGTGTTTTTTGTATATTGACCTTGTAGTGTGTAATTTTGTTGAACTCACTCATTAGTTCCAGTTTTTTGTGGATTTTTAAAAAATTACAAGATTATGTCATTTGCAGAGGATGATAGTTTTACTACGATGTCTTTAATTTAATTTTTTTTAATGATTTCAGAGAGAGGAAGGGAGAGGGAGAGAGAGATAGAAACATTAATGATGAGAGAGTCATTGATTGGCCGCCTGCTGCACATTCCCTGCTGGGGATCAAGCCCACAACCCCGGGCATGTGCCCTGACCGGGAATCGAACCCCGATCGCCTGGATCCTAGGTTGATGTTCAACCTCTGAGCCACACCTGGCTGGGCTATTTCTTCTTGAATAATTGACCTGCTTAGAACCTTCAGTGTAATTTTCAATAGAAATGATGAAAGCAGACATTCTTGTCTTCTTCCTGTCTTAAGGAGAAAGCATTCAGTCTTTTATCTTTAAGTGTGATATTAGTGGTGGGGTTTTTGGAGAGGTATTTTTATCAGGTTGAGGCATTAATATTAAAAAAAAATTTAGATAAATTATAATATGCAAACAAGAAAACCAATTATCTAAGTCAATGTTTAAGGAACTAGGATAATTTGTTATATTATTCCTACTGAAATTTCACTATAGCGTAGTAGAAAAGTTCAGAAATCTAGTTTTACTTTTATTAGATGGGTATCTTTTTCTTTTATATGACTAAATTACAAATAGCATCTAGAAAACTTATACTTTGATTGAATTATTTGTCCTTGTATCTCAGACAGAAGGATGCCACGGAGAAAGAAAAAAGTTAAAGAAGCCTCTGAAGCTCAGAACTTGGAGAAGAAAGATGCAGAAACTGCTAGTCCTGTCAATGTGAAGAGGAAACGTAAATTGGAGGATGCATTCATTGTGATATCTGATAGTGATGGAGAGGTCAGTATTTTGAAGAGTGGAGCTCTGGGTCTCAAACTAGGCCTTGTTTTCCAAAACTGGCTTGTGTTGTGACTAAACCTTAATGCTAGCTTGCCAGATCATGCAGTTTTTACTCAACTTCATTTTGACTTGTAAATGGAATTAATAATTATTTAAAAGTAATCATACTGTTTGGCTGAGGATGGATCATGGTTCCTCAGTTTTGTAATGTATTAACTCAAGGTGATGTTTTAAAACTATTTGAATAACCTACATAAAATGTAAATCTTAATTTTCATGTGTCTGGAAAGTGAGAGAAAGAGGATGTAAATGCTTTTTAAATCTCTGGATATACACTGTCCAGTGTGTTAGCAATTAGCCACCTGTAGCTATTTAAATTAAAGTTAAATAAAAGAAAATCAGTTCCTTTGTTGCACTAGTTACATTTCAGGTGATCAAAGCCACGTGAGCCTAGTGTCTGCTGTATTAGCACAACTGTAGAACATTTCCCTCATTGTAGAAACTTTTTAAAAAAAATATGTTTTTATTGATTTTTAGAGGGAGAGGAATAGAGAGATAGGAACATCGATGAGAGAGAAACATCATCGATTCCCTCCTGCACAACCCGTACTGGGCATTGAGCCTGCAACCTGGGCATGTTCCCTGACCAGGAATCAAACTGGTGACCTCTTGGTTCCTCTGTTGACACTCAACCACTGAGCAACATGGGCTAGGCTAGAAACCTTTTTTTAATGCCCATCCCCCCATACTCCTCCCTTTAGCAACCATCAGAAAGTTCTCTATATTTACAGGTCTGTTTCTGTTTTGTTTGTTCTTTTTTTGTTTTGTTTCACATGGGAGTGAAATTATACAGTGCTTGTCTCTCTCTCTCTGGTTTATTTCACTTAGCATAATACCCTTTATATCCATCCATGTTGTCTCAAATGGCAAAATTTCACTTTTTTTTCTCTTAAAAAAAACAGAAATCTTTTAAAAAATTTTTAGAAAGAGGAAGGGGGTGGAGGGAGAGAGAGAGAGAGAAACATTGATGTGAGAGAGAAACATTAATTGGTTGCCTCCTCAGCTGCCCCAACTGGGGCCAGGGATGAACCTGCAACGCAGGTACATGCCCTTGACTGGAAATCGATCCTATGATCCTTGGGTGTGTGGGCCGATGCTCCAACCAACTGAGCCACACCAGCCAGGGCTAAAGCCTATGTTTTTAAAACGATAAAATTCAAAGTAGTGAAATCAATCTTACATTAAGTAATAAGATTGTGGTGGTTTAAATTTTTATTTAGATGAGCAGGAAAATCCTGTATTTCAAAATTCATTTTTTTTTTTTTAGATATATCTTTATTGATTTCAGAGAGAGGAAAGGAGAGGGAGAGAAAGAGATAGAAACATCAGTGATGAGAGAGTCATTGATCAGCTGCCTAGCCTGCAACCCAGGTATGTGCCCTGACCAGGAATCACCTGAATCCTAGGTCGATGCTCAACCGCTGAGCCACGCCCGGCCGGGCAAAATTCATTTTTGATCCTTCTTGGTAGCTAGGTCCAGCAATTTTTTCTGTAGTATTATAGTTATCTTTTGAAAGAAGTGGAATTCACATTCATGAATTGCCTATGGGTTAATTTTTTTTGATGTGACATAAAATTCATAAGTTTTTAATCAAATTTGTAAGGTCGTGAATGTTAACTTCTTGTGGATGTGTAATATCAAGATTACCACCTAGATCATTGATGTTTAATTACACAATTGGAAAACACATCACAATCTGTAGAATCTCTATTCTTCCAATAATTTAACTTTCATTTTTGTCCTTTGATCTTAGCTGCCATTGAATTCCTTGCACGGAAGCATTAAGTTCATTGAAAATACTGAAAATATCAGACAAATAAGCAAGTCTTGCTTTCCACTTTACAAAAATCTTAAAAAGTTACAGAAGCAGTAAGCATTTGTTTTGTAGTTCAGAATTCTCCACAGAACTTTTCCCTTTAACAGTATATCTCTGCAAGTAACTACAGTTGTTTATGATCTATTTACATATCACACAATAAAGAAAATATTCTTGAATTGAGTGCATTAGGCTTAGTCTTTTGTTTTTTTTAATCCTCACCCAAAGATATACTTTCCATTGCTTTTCAGAGAGAGTGGAAGGGAGAGAGAGAGAAACATCGATGTGAGAGAGACACATAGATTGGCTGCCTCCCTCATGCACCCTACCCGGGGCCAGGGATTGAGCCTGCAACCGAGGTACATGTCCTTGGCTGGAATCAAACCTGGGACCCTTCAGTCTATGGGCTAACTCTCTAACCCCTGAGCCAAACCCGCCAGGGCTAGCCTTAGTCTTTATGTAATTTACATTTTCTACTGTGCAGAGTATTTAGTTTGGCTGACATTTTTTCAGTAATGGAAATAGTGCATTGATTAACATTCTGGCACGAACTCCTTAACTTAGGAAATTTTCCCGTTGTTACTGCTGGCTACATAAAAATTTAAACGTTTAACCCTTTATGGTTTTAAATAGTTCAGAACGTAATGTTTGTAAAAAATAAAGCTGAAAGAATTTTTCTACCATCAAGTTCATCACACATTTCCTAAAAGTATTGCTGTGTTGCCAATATCTGTGCATTCATGAAGTTGCAATGAAAAGTATGTTGCTAGCTTTATTTGTTTTATTAATTGGTCTTGCACATCATTCATTTTTTATTCTTTTTGGTAGCCAGGTTGAGCAATTTTTTCTGTAATTATAGTTATCTTTTGAAAGAAGGGGAATTCACATCCATGAATTGCCTATGGGTTAATTTTTTAAAATTTGCTTCCTGAATATGTTAAGCTGTGTTGTCATTGGAATATGGTACCCGAGCTACCTTCTTTGCCTCAGACTCACCCATCATTTCTAAGTAGACAGCTTTGCTGTCTTTTATTAATTTCTTTACAATTCTATATAGTTTTTTTGGTCTTAGAAAATCCAATATTTATAAGAAGTCTACAAAGTGCTAATATTTACATATGAAATATTAAGCATCTCTGTGAGCTTATTAATATACTCATAGAATTAATTTTGGACTTACTTTGTTTTCTATATATATGTTTAAGTTTTCATAGTTTTTTAGTTAGTATGTATTTAGAAATAAGACACCCCGATTGTTATACTACGTCATCAATTGTGGGTTCAAAACTGAACTCAATATGTGAAGGAGCATACTTTTTTTTAAAATTTATTTTTATTGTTGAAAGTATTACAGATATCCTCCCTTTTTCCCCCCATTGATCCCCTCCACCCTGCATCCTCGCCCCCCAGGCTTTCACCACACTATTATCTGTGTCCATGGGTTATGCATATATGCATATAAATTATTTGATTAATCTCCCCCCACCCACTCCCCCACCCC